GAGGCGAAAGCGTGACAAAATAACGATAACCCAAAATGGGATCCAGCATATCATGAACGCCAGCACAACTGTAGTCTGCTACACAGCCTTTTTTAGAGTCGTCACGAAACGCTCCTCCCCACTAACGGCTGCTGAGAACCGAACTACATTCCTTTCCCGTGATTAGCCAATTATAATTCAGCTCCCATTTTTATGGGGAGAGGCGTTGCGTGACGACACCAAAAACGGCTGTGTAGCAGACTAGCACAACTGCGAAAAGTGATTTGCTTATCTTGATCTCACGCGTAGTAATGTGGCTCAATGTTTCGCGTCTCTGGATTGTAGTTGACGCATCGGCGTTGTGCCGTTGGATCGTTTTTGCAATTTTTATGTAACTAAATATTGCTGTTAGTAACGGGATTAAGAGGAAACATATGACGACAAAGGCATAGTGAAACATTTTTCCAATTTCGCTTAGGTGGGCTGGAGCGCAAAGGGCATATCCCGGGACGAAGACAAAATTCTGAAGACCAGCTAACTTCGGTGCAGCAGTATAACAAGCGACAAAAATCCCAAACAGGCAAGCAAGCCGCGACACTTCCACGGTGAAAAGATTCTCTTGTACTGCTGCTCCGATTTGCAAATCCTCATGTATCTGTTGAAAGCCATTAAACCCATCGTTACTGGTGAAATGTAGATAACAAACCCACCGCAGAAACCATGAAAGTTGCAAAAAACTGAGCCAAAACACCCAATCGCCTCGTAGGCCGAGGCGGATAACACTCTCCGAGATCTCCATAATTCTTCATACGATACAAAAGCCGAATTCAATAATTGTTTTATTATTCATTCAAAATTCTCTATTCCTAGTAAAACATGGCTAAAAAAGAGGAGAAAAATGCTCCTTACCCGCACCAAATAAAGTCAACTGGTCCTCCCCTAAGCCCCAGACAACGCCTTTTTCGAGTATGTAAAGTCTTGACATTTTTTCTAGAGTACGTAGACTAGTCTAATTTTGCACTCAGTCATGCAAGGGAAAGGAAATGCAACCCCTAATAAGATTTGAGTAGCTGTTCATTTTTTTTTCCAGACACAAAACTTGAATTGGTGAACTTTAACAGTCACTGTTATAATATGTCATAATTAGTAACATTCCTGCGATTTTTTTTGTATGTGTGTGTAAAAGTCGTGCGAAACTGTACCAAAAGAAGCAAAATATTTAATTGTCATTTCAATTTTAGACCAATAAACATAAAAAAACTGCAGCCAATATGTTCAACATCTCGTAAATGACGGACCGGTCCCAGGCAGCGCCATGTCACATATGAATGTTTCACCGTTGTAGAGCTCATCTCAGTTGGTCTAATCTTTTCTTAACGTTGTAACATATAAAAAACCCAAGGGTGATTTAAATGTCCCGGTTTTATACCACGGGGGAGGAGGAGGGGAAATTTAGTTTTGCTTGTACCCAAAGGGATTAAAATGACTGCCATGTTGCATTTTACTGTCCGTTTACATTTTTCAGAAGAGTGCTGAAACTGAAAGCGTTTTTCTAGATCACAAATATGGTAGGAATAAAAATTAAATTAAATTGCTCTTAGATGCATTTGGTATGAATGAGACCCAAAGCAACAATTACCGAAAAATTCATCAGACTTTTTTTCTCCTAGCGTTGAGGAACGATGCACAGTTATGGAGTACAGGATAATCCCTTTTATGGGGTTACTTTAACTCCTGATTTAACTCCAAATTTGAAGTCATTTTTACTCCTGAAAAAGAGTTCTTTTTACTCCCAGTCAGGAGGCCATATGGGCTCCTGTCCCAGTCTGGAGTTAAATAACTCCAAAAATGGGTTTATTTTTACTCCTTACATGGGTTGTTTTTACTCTTTTTGGAGCTAATTAAACTCTGAAAGTGGAGTGAAAATTTTAAGTACAGATATGAGCTCCTGGTGCAGGATAACTCCTATTTGGGGGTTATTTTAACTCCTCAATATCTGGGATCATTTTTACTCCTGAAAAAGAGTTCTTTAAACTCCTTTTTGGGATTAAAATAACTCCACTGTAAGAAGTTAAATTAACCCCACTAGAGGAGTTGTTATAACTTGTTGAAAAGTACTGTGTGAGAGACGGCTGTATTGGAACGTTTAATACTGAGCGATCCTTTAGCCATTGATTGGGAGCTTAACATGAAAAAGGGGTTGTCTTTGAGGGACGCAGGTCAATCAAACTTGTGAAGACGTTTTCGCATTCTTGAGCAGTAGTTTTGCTCAAATTTTCGGGCAGAAGTTTCGGACTGTCAGCGCGCTAGATCAACTCGGGGACTTAAGCGACCTACAACTGGTTACTTAAGGGGAGAGGGGGGGCTTACTCTGAGCGACTACGCTTTAGCGATCTGACAAGGCTCGTCACAGCCTTGGTACACAGGATCTCACTAACTGCCGTGAATCGGACAGCAAATACTTCAACTTCTTGAACCAAGTGCAAGTCCAAGTTAATTTCATTGTGTAAAATGCGCTTAGCTATTTCAGTGAGAAAACTCACTAGCTAGTTGACAGGTATTACACATTTTACTAGAAATACGTATCTCGCAATAACCCTCGCGAAACTCGGTTTGGTCACGGCATGAGTCAAGTTTTACAGGTATTACACATTTTAAAAACTGATAAGAAATTTAAAAAGAATAGATAATTATGACTAAAATATGTTCAAAATAACTACCGAAAAGATAAAAAGAAACTATTTACATAAGACTAAAAAATTTTACTAAGATTAAGCAAAAACTATTTACAGTGCGATAGACTGGTAGTAGTAGTTTATTATAGTAAACCTGATAGGTCCAGTTTTGTAATACTATTTTAAAAGCCTTGAAAGATCATATAGTTCTTTATGAATCGGGAATGAAATTCCATAGTTTTTCCATAGAGTAAAATCTTTAATTTATGCTTAAACGAGAACTAAAACATAACCAACTTATCTTTACAGGGCACTTTCCTACGTAGTACATTGTACCGGCTATTCCGGCACTATTAAAGATATCTGTGAAAAGTGCGTCTGAGTGACACGCAACCACCTGTAGAAACAATACTGAGTTCTATATTGTAAAAGTTATTTGAGTGACAGTTTAAATAACCTTGAAAGGAAATATGGGACTCCCATATGAAAAGGGCGGGGATGCTCGTGGTCTCGCTTAGGGGTGTACATTTCGGATTCTGGTCTCACTTAGGGTGTTCTCGGCAAAACACCATTATATTTAGCCGTTAAGGTCTCTTTTAGCGTTGCAGGCAAATTATATATTTTCAATTCGTTTTAGTTACTAGATTCATGTAATCAAAGTTGAAAGTGGTCTCCTTTAGTGGTTTAATTCAAAATTTCCGACGATCATCCCAGGCAAGCCGGAAGGAACATGTGAAACAATTTTTGAAACTTGCTGAAGATATCTACAAATAGATAAAAAGAAGCTGAAATGAGAGTAAATGCTGATGAATATTGAAAGTTCCAGAAAGCCCCAAATTTTAATGATTTCTCCCGAGACTGTTATAATTTATTTGCCATTGAAAAGCGGCAAGAAATGAAAACGTTCGAGCAAAACTGTGTCACCCTGATCCTGAGGCATATTACAAGACTTTCATTTTCACACTGAGAGACAACTCTTTTATGTTCCGATCGAATTAACACAGATTAACCTGAAGGTTCAAACACACACAAACGCTTTTTTTAACGCGACTTTATGGTAGTTGCTTAGCTGAGTATCCATTCGCCGCGAAAACATAGATAAAAAATTCTTTACTTGATACAAAACAGGTAATTAAATTAAAGAAATTTTCGATTTCACATACACCCACAGCAATGGGTCTTCCTTCACAGCATAGCATTCAGTAACAGAATTCTCTTATGGGCATCTATCTGTTTTTCAATCTAATCACAACAAACTATGACGACTACGTCAGTTCACGAAGTTTCATCCACCTCTGACTTGGTAGAAGCTGCTGACTAGTATCGAGGAGAATTTCTGCTGTACATTTCGATCCCGCTTTGACCTCTCCCCTGTCAGGTATTTGATTCACAATTCTGTTTGTGTTTGCAGTTGAAGAGCCTTCGTTCACAGCAAAACATTTTTCGAAATTCGCTTCTGAAAGTGCGATTCATCCCAGCGTATATAAAAGGATTTATTGTATTTGACAGATAAATAAAGAAACAAGCAAGGAGTTCAATATTTCGTGGCAGCTTCTCAAGGACATGGGGGTGCCTTACAACAACGATCACCCAAAATGGGATCCAGCATATCATGAACGCGAACACAACCACAAAGAGAGACTTACTCAGCTTCAGTTCTTGCACTGTGATGCTTGAGCCTGTTGCGCCCCTGTGAATCGTAGATGACATAGCAGCATTGTGCTGTCGGATCATCTTTGCAACCTTTATGTAACTGAATATTGTAGTCAATAAAGGAGTTAAAAAGAAAAAACCGAGGACAATGGCGTAGTGGACAACTTTTCCAGTTTGATTGAGATGAGCCGGAACGCACAGGGCATATGCTGGGGCAAACACATAGTCTTGAAGACCTGTTAACTTTGGAACAAGGATGTAGCATGCAACAAGGATCCATGCACAGGCCAATAATGCTCGTGACTTCCAGGGTGAAAAGATTCTCTTGTATTGCTGCTCCGACTTACAAATCCTCATGTACCTGTTAAATGCTGTTAAACCCATAGTGACGGGTGAAACGTACACCACAAACATAACCATGTACGCTTGAAAGTTGCAGATCACTCGGCCATAAACCCATTCGCCTGTTATAAGCACACCCAGTGTAAAAGGCATGAGAAATACACCGGACATTAAATCACTTAAAGCAAGTGCGATAATATACAGGTTGGTGGTTGTGCGTAGTCGTGTGTTCTTGCAAACTGCAATGCACACCATTATGTTACCCGTTAACGACAGAACGTTGAAAATTATGATGGAGAAGACCTCTACGGTGGTTAAAAGTACACTACGATTGGTTAAAACGTCCGCCATTCTGAGATATAAGAAAAACCAATTAAGTAAACTGCATTTTGGTTTCAATTCTAGATTACGAGATTGGTAATACTAGTTCACGTCTTTGAGGCGGAGCTTACCCTAAGGATTTTAACCGCAAAATTTGAAGAATGCGACATCCATAGAAACTTGCCAAAATTCAAACTTTCTAAACTTAATATCAGTACTGGGTTTTTTATGGCTTGTCTTATAGATATATTTTCATATTGTTTCGCAACACAGAAAAGCATGAGCAACAACAACAAAAGAAAAAGTGGCCGGCCGCCCTAAGTGCTCAGAAATGGCTTGAATTGCCGAGTCTGAATGTTCTCGTACCCTGTTAAAAAAATTGTTTCAAATTTCTCTGGGAAAAAAGATTCAGATCGCTACAAATCAGAGAAACGGATTCAGCCTTATAAGAATGAATTTGTAATCATGAAAATATCTGGCTGTTCAAATTTTACTGACAATATTAGTACACCCATCGTCTCACGCACAACACTCGTCACAGGAGCATGATTTTTTTCAGAGGGACATTACTCGTCACAAGGGCAACAAATGTCAAATATCATCCTTCGAATTTATTAATAAAATGAAGTATACTTTTACGCTATCCAGAAAGGGCTTTTATTTTGCTTCCTGTGACCGGTAGTGGGATGGGGGCTCCAAACTTCAAAACCGCTCATGATACGGCCACCAAAATTACACAGAATATTGTACCCACAATTTCCAGTATCTATGCTTAACTTGATTGACACAATGAGGTAACTTTACGTCACAATTACGTCATATTCTTGAATTTATTGGCAGAAACCAACTTACATGATTTTTTCTTCTCAACCGAAAAATACTTTATAAATAGTAAGGTGTCTGACAAAGTCAAGAAGTTGGCTGACATATAGTCTGCTACACAGCCGTTTTTAGTGTCGTCCGGAGCCTTGCGTGACGACACTAAAATCGGCTGTGTAGCAGACTAGCTGACATAGAAATCATCTTTAACCACTGAATAGCGATGATTTAAGGATGACGTCATCAAAGGATGTTAAACCATGCCATCTGCCATCTTGGATCCGCCATTTTGAATTATTTGAATGTGTTCAATTTGACGTTAAAACACAGGCGGCCCAGACGTAGTATGTGTCACTGGATGAATATATTAATATTCACATGGACAAATTAATGCGATGAGTCGTCGAAACTCCAATGAACTAAAATAGTCCAAAAATTAAAATATAACAAAATAAAGCTAAGATACCTTTAACTGAACGTATCCTTGTCTTTCCTGGCCGGTTTAAGTGGCATTTTGTTGAGTTTGCAATTGTAGGTACTATCCACTATAGAAGAATTAAAGGCTGGCTACAAAACAAACAGACCATCTCCACGCGCCTTCACACGAAGCGCTATAAATTCGAAAATAATCGACGAATCCGCTCCAAATAACTATCGGCTAATCTGCAGGTAACGTGTGCTCCTGCTTCTGGCTCGCTTGCTCCACAAAACCCATCGCAACTGCACAATAATTGCTCGCTCATCAACAACCACTGTTGACCTTTACGCTTCGATATGACCGCAAACGACCAGGTATAATACGCGACGTGAATATTCAAGCTTAGCGACCGCGTCCGCGCGACAATGCAACACTTGCAATGGGAGGGGTGGTACAATTGTTCTAGGTCAATCAACACTGAGCGAGGGTCCGCTGCGTTAGTTTTGACCAGAAAACAAAAGGCGATCGAGGGACCGTCCGTAAGTTTTCAACAGGGCAGCCCTGGTTTTCAAGTTCGAATTCTTCCAAAGTTCCCTGTCTCAGATGCTGTCACATTGTTCGTTTCAGCCGCTTACATAGGTTCTTGACTCTACCAGACTTATTTGCTTAGATTAACAACGTCTTACTCCATAATATGTTGTCCAAACTGGTGAAGGAGGACGAGAATTTTCCGCCCAGGAAAAAGGCAAAATCTGGCCCCCGCTATGCAGCTGAATAGAAGATACAGCTGAAGATATCGTAAAGTAAAATTTATGTGCGCGATATCTTTTATTATTATTATTATTATTATTATTATTATTATTATTATTCTCAAAACTCAGGGGCACCCAACGATGATTTCCCCCTAAATGCATTGAAAACACATTTAAGGCTGTCCAGAGTACTTTTGACCGAAAAATGCATTCTAAACAGCGCTTACATAAATTTAGTCAGGAGGGCTAAAAGCGAAGCTAATGATTTATAGTTTGCTCATACTAAATATAAAATATATCGTGTAATGCTAAGCGGAGAAGGCAACGAGACAGGGCCACCCAACGACTGTTTCCTCAAATACTTTCAATTGAAAACACTTTTGTAGCTATTCATAAAGTACTTTTAGCTCTATAGAAATGCATTCTAAGTGGCACTATAAAACTTGCATCTCAGTGTTCGGCCATTCTAGAGGAACTTGAGTCTTTTCCAAATTACGAGGAATTCAGAATTATTTTCCCGAAAATTTTAGATGCAATTTAACGTATTACGAAGGAGATAATTTTGCAGATACCTTCTTTCATCACATTTTTGAATCCGAAAATTTTAGGATTCCATTTTACTCTCTACGAAAAATAGCCTAACCCGGTGAGTGAAATGTGAAAAATTAAAAGTTGGATGCCCTTGACCAGAACTGTGAAAAACAACAATAGGTCTAATTGCAGCACACTTTCTTGTACATTTCCTTGCCGTTGATTTGCATGACTGCAACGTGAAACGTCCAGAAAACGTCCTGGTTTTCACTTTTTGTGGAGAAAATGTGGTACATGTTCTTGCTCACTTTTTCTACTGCTGCTCATTTTTTTTTAGCTCCGCTATAAGATTCGTATCTGTTCGGTGCTCCTAGGGCAAATTGGATCTTTTTAAAAATTATAAGGGCTTCAATATTATTTTCCCGATTGATTGAGCTAGAAGCAATAGTACCATCCCTCCCATAGCAAGTGCTGCATTGTTGCGCGAACGCGGTCGCTAAGCTTGAATATTCACGTCGCGTATTATACCTGGTCGTTTGCGGTCATATCGAAGCGTAAAGGTCAACAGTGGTTGTTGATGAGCGAGCAATTATTGTGCAATTGCGATGGGTTTTGTGGAGCAAGCGAGCCAGAGGCAGAAGCACACGTTACCTGCAGATTAGCCGATGGTTATTTGGAGCGGATTCGTCGATTATTCTCGAATTTATAGCGCTTCGTGTGAAGGCGCGTGGAGATGGTCTGTTTGTTTTGTAGCCAGCCTTTAATTCTTCTATAGTGGATAGTACCTACAATTGCAAAACTCAACAAAATGCCACTTAAACCGGCCAGGAAAGACAAGGACACGTTCAGTTAAAGGTATCTTAGCTTTATTTTGTTATATTTTAATTTTTGGACTATTTTAGTTCATTGGAGTTTCGACGACTCATCGCATTAATTTGTCCATGTGAATATTAATATATTCATCCAGTGACACATACTACGTCTGGGCCGCCTGTGGTTAAAAACCCGTATAAAATATAGACAATCGTGATAGAAAAAAATCTATATAAAACGATGCTTAGGAAGCAAAAAAAAAAAAAAACGAAAGAAAAAAGTCCTCAATTTGTAACATTCCGAGAGAAATTAACACTGGTAAGATTTGAACCCAACTTCTGCCACTTGGTCATTTAAATTTTTCTTCTCAAATCAGTTACGGAAAAGACTGAGATACACTAACAGCTTTAAACTTCATAAATAGTGCTAAATCAAGTCTCATTAATAAGTCATTATAACGTCAATGTGGACGTGACGTACACGTCACGACTATCAAAAAAGGGTCCTAGATAACTTTTTCGGAAAAGTCGCTGATTTTAGTGGTCATAGCTAAAACGGTTTTGAATTTATTTAGCTTTTTAGCGTGGGGGGATCCAAACGCCTCCCTGGTGTCAATAGGAATAAGTTTAATAAGTGAATTCGTGCTCTCAGTTCCTTTTCCTTTTGTGTCTCGATTTGGAGTATAAAATTGCTTAGAAGTGATAATAGGGCATAAGCTGCCTTTTTTTCGTAACAGTTTAACTCCTTTCTGAAGTAAACACGACTGGAAGAGTGGATCCCTGCCTGCCCTCTTGAATCGTTGGCACTACTCTAGCAGACACAGACACACCCACAGCATTGCGTCTTTGTGCACAGCAGAGTATTTTTCGGAATTCTCTTCTAAATATAGGATTCATCCCTGCGTATATAAACGGATTCACTGTATTGGAGAGATAAATACAAAAATTGCAGAGGAGTTCGACATTACGTGGCATCGTCGCGACGAGACGAAAGCGTCTCAAAATAACGATAACCCAAAATGGGATCCAGCATATCATGAACGCCAGCACAACTGCGAAAAGTGATTTGCTTATCTTGATCTCACGCATAGTAATGTGGCTGAATGTTTCGCTTCTCTGGATTGTAGTTGATGCATCGGCGTTGTGCTGTTGGATCGTCTTTGCAATTTTTATGTAACTAAATATTGCTGTTAGTAACGGGATTAAGAGGAAACATATCACTACAAAGGCATAGTGAAACATCTTTCCAATTTCGCTTAGGTGGGCTGGAGCGCAAAGGGCATATCCCGGGACGAAGACAAAATCCTGAAGACCAGCTAACTTCGGTGCAGCAGTATAACAAGCGACAAAAAGCCACACAAAGGAAAGCAAGCCGCGAGACTTCCACGGTGAAAAGATTCTCTTGTACTGCTGCTCCGACTTGCAAATCCTCATGTATCTGTTGAAAGCCATTAAACCCATCGTTACTGGTGAAATGTAGATAACAAACCCACCGAAGAAACCATGAAAGTTGCAAAAAACTGAGCCAAAAACCCAATCGCTTGTTATTAACACACCGGTTGAGAAGGGTATTACAAGTACAGCTGAAATCAAGTCACTCAAAGCCAATGCGATGATATAAAGATTTGATGTTGTGCGTAGTCGACTGTTCTTGTAAACAGAAATACAAACCAAAATGTTTCCCAATAAGGACAAAAC